CCTTTTTTCCTCTCATGCTTTGTCTCTGTACTTACTTTTAAAATACCAAGAGGGGGAAGGTTTAAGGAAAAGAACTTCAAATAAAACATTTTTCTTGGAAAATTCATTTTGGTTCAAAAAGTATTTTTGTCTTGGAAAAGCATTTTGAAACTTGCTACTTCCTTTCTAACATCAAGTAGTAGATGATCCCCATAAGGCCAGTCTGATTTACATCTGCTTTATCTCTGTCTTTTTCTAGGCATTTCACAATAGGTAATTCATCACTCAGTGAAGCCCACAGGTGAATTCAAGCTTTTTTCTTTCTTTAAAAGGCTAAGAGGAGAATTATAAAGTATTAATGTTTAAATTTGGTTATATTTCTGGTTCTCATTTAGAAAAAAAACACATTATACTTTGTGTCTAAGCCATACATGGCCACGCCAGAAGGTAATTCTTTTAATGAATTCATAGCCCTTTTGTGCTTATCCAGAAAGATCGTACAGGACTTTCATGGGCACAAAAATCCTGTACGTCCCCTAGTTCATTTCTTAAACACATTCTGAGAATCTTTTTCAGCCTAGTTTAGAGGAGACGGACAAAAGATTCCACTGGCTTTCTGAACAACGAAGCTTCAGAGCTTGATAACACATATATGGTCTATAGCTGACCAAAGGATGCTGATTCTCTTTGAAACTTTTAAAGTTGAAGGGTTTTGTCTTGTATGGGGGAGGGGAACAAATGAATCTGAGTGAGTTTCAATTATAATAATGGAGTTATTTTATTTTTCCTAGTCGTATAAGTACTGACCTGAACTGCAGAGGGGCGCAGAGCCCTTACTCTCCTTTGCAGTAGGATTTCTCATTCAGGATTATGTAGCTCAGGGAAACATACCTCTATATTTCAGACTTCTCTCCCAGTGACAGACCTCCAGTTCTTTCTGTTTTCTTCCTTGAGTTCTCTGTGTCAATTTTTGGTAGCAGAGATGTGGTAGCACCACTCTGTAGTGTCTTGGTTCATGTCAGCGTGTTAGGAGTACGTTATATCTCATCACAGTACGTGTCAGGGCAGTTGAATGATTTGCTCCTCGCTTTCCGGTGTGTAGTACTGTGCAGACTGAGGAGTGTAACTACATGGAACTATAGCAATTTTTTCCCTAAGATGGGAATGTGGCAGCTGAGAAAATCTACCTTTTTCCAGAGATGCAATGAAGCCTTTGGATCAAAAAATGACGATAGTCCTTAAGACCTGAGCGTGACTCTCTTGCTGTCAATACAAGTGGTGAAAATTTACATTCTGCTGTAATTTTTCCCTTTTTCTCCTTTTTATAAATAGAAGAGGCCTTACTTACTGTCTTCTGCATGCTCTGGAATGTGGGAATGATGCATCAATGCACAAATTATGACTTCAAGGCAAGAGAAAATTAAAGATATCTATCAAAGTATTTTCATATTTTTGGAGAAAACTGTTATTGTTGTTGCTGAGTTACCATGCTACCTGAAAGAAGCTCTTGGTGGATTTAAGCAAAATATTACAAGTATCACATTCCTATATTTTCTGTTTAGCTTATCTTCTTGGGAATTAACCATGCTTTTATGATTTTTTTAGATAATGGATTTTTACCCTTCATTCCACTATTAGCATCATGTTACTATTTAGAAAGAAATCTAAAGCAGAATGTCATTATTCAGAGCTTGTTTTCTTTTGAATATCTACCAGCAAGTACCAAGTGTCTCAATGCTGTACCTAAGCCACCTAATAATACAGAAGCAACAGTTTGTTCTGAACTAAGTGCTTTGTAAGCAAATAAAAGGTACTGTGACTGGCCTTAGTGTAATACACACAGCTGGATGAAGGCCAATCTGCCTTCAGAGACCAGCTGACAGGGTGGGAGGAGGCAGAAGAGTCTGTAGAGACCTTCCTTTGAACTTCACATGGAGCACAAAACAGAGGCAGGGTACCCTGGGTTCTGCAGCAGCAGTTTTGTTTCCTCTTTTGGCATAATAGGCTTGGTGTTCCCCTCACTCGCACCACTTCTTCACCCAAGTACCTTTCCATTTTATGTCAGAACAAAGGACAGGTCCTAGCACTAGAGTCCACGCTCGGCTTTGCAGAGGTGTGCATGCAAAACTCAAACAGACCTAGCCCAAAGACCAACACTTTTATTAAAACTACTCCTCTGGAAGCACAAACTGAAGAGTTTTCTGCTGCGCTGTGTTTCTAAGTGTGCAGCTTCACCATTAATGTTCAGGAATGTGGGCAGTAACCAGCCTTTTGCCTCCTGGTTTGTGGAAATTGGAGGTGTGTATAAAATATCCAGGATCATGGGAGAACTCAGGTAGCAAATGTTCTAGAGGATGGACTGGAGACATGGAAATGGAAGCATATAGGGTGCAAACTCCCCTGACATTGCCTGCCCCGAGCTGAAGATACCAACTCGCTCAAGTTATATGCGCTTGGACTTTACTTGGCCAGCACAGATACAGCTCACCGTGTTGATTTATGGAAATGCTGTGCTAAAGCCATCTTACCTGTTCTTGAAATTCATCCCATCCTGGGTCTCAACTAAATAGGCTGTTCTGTACTCAGATTAATTCTGTAGAGAACCAGAGATATGTTTGTGCATCTGCAACACATGAAGGTCTGTGAGTTGGCTCTACTTAGTAGGACTCTAGGAATTGTTATATGGGACCAGATAGTCTAAATGAATGAGTAGAAGTTTTGAAAATTCCTTCTCTAGAGATGCTAGCCATAAAAACAAGAAGTTTTAAGAACTTGTCTTAGCTAAATCCAAAATTCCCATCCACTGGCCATCCTGTCTTCTTTCAGAAATGTCACTTGGAATAGTTTCTGAATCTCGGCCAGTAAATATGTGTACTGGGGAACATCTCTAGCATCTGAACAAGCATTTCACATTTTTATTTTTAAGCTCAGGGTAACTGGCCATCTATGTACAGCTATCAAACCAATTTAACAAATGGTGAAGTGAATAAATCCAACAAGGATGCAAAAGCTGGCATGGAAGTGGGATACAGCCAGTGCCAGCCTCTCTGCATAGTTCAAAGGCATCAACAGGTTTGTATGGTCAGGGGCTGCTCACAAAGTATAGAGTTTGCAATAGCCTGAGTAGATATTTTGAAGTTACAATTATGAGTAAAAAGACTGGGTTTGATATTTTGTTTGGTTGGAAAGGGGAGGATTGCATTTTTTAGTACAGCAGTAAACAAGTGCAGAACGTGGGAGGAGAAGATGACTCACAAAACACTAGCGTAGTCTGATGTTTGTATTATAACATGATAAATGGGCTGTTTTGTATGTATTTCACTGCAATATACACATAGACAGAACGCAGAAGAACCTAATAAAATTATACTAATTGCAGGAATGACAGCCTCTATGCAAGAAAGAAAAATTAATTCACCCCACATGGAAAAAGAGATGTATCTTAATTTTGTAGTGTTCTTTCCACGTAGAAAGGAATGGTATTTAAGATTTCTTTTTTAATGAAGTGCTAGGCTTTTCTGTCAAATGGCACTTTGTAGAACTCAAGCAAATAAACACAAAAATAAATGTTTTCTTCTGTGGGAAAAATTTTTGGGTTGGGGGTTTCTTTTCCTGGAGGCTTATGTATTGATTAGTTGTTTTGGGGATTTTCAAACTAAGAAAGGTGAAAAATAGAAACAGGAGGATTAGGATTAGGAATTGTGAACATGGAACTTGATGCTGTTATGCAGCTTTCATAAATATCTTAAAACGGAAAAACATGAGTGAAAATGTGTCAGCATTTTAAAGCTAAATCAGGTTTATAAAGAAAGGCAGTGTTTTTTAAATTACTTTGGAGACAGTAGATAGTGAAGCTCCTATCTCCTGCACCTAATGCTGCAGTTAGATACAGCTTCATGTTTTCCTGAGTTCTCTTTCTTAAATCTTAAAGGTTAAAGTTATTCCTCCTGCCCAAACCCAAATGTCTTTTAATGGATTTTAATTGTGTTCCCCTGTTTGAATCCTCTGGGGTTTTATCCATGTGAAACAATTTAAAAAAAAATCTAATAATCATTTTTTATGTCATATTGTTTGAGTTTAATTTCTGTCAGTGTAGTAAAATTTAAGATAGCTCGTATTTCTTTAAAGTGGCAAATTTAATTGAGGAGAGTGGTGGAAGTCAGCATTAGCTTAAGTTTTGACAATGGTGATTTATGATAGCTGAACATTAAGCCCTTTTTATCTTCAGCTATCATTTCTTGTAATAGTATCTCCCTGCAGCAGATGCAATCACACCTTGAGCTGTTTCACTGACTCCTTTCTTGCAGAGTCTAGGACGCTAAAGGATTTCACCCAGAGAAATGTGACTGGAGTGTCTTTCATGCTGTGATGAATGTGCTGAGTTTTAATAATAATTATTGTACTTCATGGACTCAATGGTTATATTAATATTGCCCTCACTGCTATTACTAAAACTTGTGATAGTAATAAACTGAGAGAGCATTACGCCCAAGTATGCATAGCTTGACTTTACACAAGTTTCTTTTTTTTCGAGTGGGGAAAGTTTGGAAAAATATATAGATTTAATTTCTCATATCTTTTAAACATGTACCTGGTATATATTATTTTCCATTTTAGCTTAGCAGTTGTATTCACCACATGTTGTGTGTGTTAGAGAAAACCAAAGTGAGGCATGATTTCAGCTCACAAAAGCTGGATTCAATTCAGTTCTGGCCCTGCTTTGACTAAATGATCCCATGAGGTCCCTTCCAGCCTGAATTATTCTATGGTTCAGTGATTTCAGTGCAATATCAATATAGATCCTTTAAGGTCATTAGTATGATTTTTTTTTTTTTTTTGCCAGAGACAGCTTTAACACTGCTTATCATATCATCAAAGACAGGCATTTTAATCTGAGAACCTATCCTTTGATTTCAATTACAGAATGCATTGCTATTGACATAACATTGTGCTATAAATTTTGTCTTTCTAAGATCAAACATTTTCCCCTGTATATTCTATAAACTCATAATTGCCTTTAGAGATCCCTGAAGACCCAGAAATTGCAGAAGAATATTATAAAGATGAGTTTGAATCCTGTTCAGAAGACAGTGAGGAGGAAGAAGATGCAGAAGCATCACAGACTATCTCTAAGACAAATCACCAGGTATATCTGACCTTTGAGAAAACAGTTTACACTTGATGCTCATTTTCCATGAGAAAATTGAGTTCCTTCTGAGAATTTGTCCTACTGACTTCACTGATTTTTTTTTTTTGTTTGTTTTTTTTGTTAGGAATGTGTATATCAATACTTAATTAATTACAAGTGTATGCATATATAAGTCGTCTGACACATTGATGAGAAAGATTCTTGCATTCCTTTGACATTAAAGATAACACTCCCATGAATGCCTTCAGGTAGATAATTGTCAGGAAACTACTTGTGACTCTAAAGCACTCAGATTCCAGTCCTCTCATGTGTTAGCTATGGTTTAAAATAAACTAAAGTTGAAAGTATGCTTGAAGCATAGGATCTAAGTTCCAGCACTAATTCCTGGGCAAAGATAGGCATCCCTAGTTGGCTCTTCTTCCTGCCTGTATTAGACATTTTTTCTAGGACAATGTGATGAACTATGAACTATGAACTATGAACAGCTGCAAGACTTGACCAGAAAATCTGTAGACTTTCCCAAGAGTCACAGAAAGTGTCAGTGAAGAGAAAACTTATTGCTGAAAAGCTTAAAGTAGTTGAGGCTGCCATAAGAAAGTCAGGGGTTGCAGTGTGAAGGTTGAAGATTATTGGAAAAGGCACCTAATTTAGATCTGACCAGAATGAGCTGAGATGAATCTTGTCTCCAATGATCAAGTCTCAGTGAAATCAATAAACTTAAATGCCCAAGGCAGTTCTGAAAATGGATCTTCCTAAGGCACTCAGGAACAGTTCATTTCTTTCATGGGCCACCAACTTAAAGCATTGCCTACAATGCCTCTGAATGTTACTGGCTGGTTCTGCTTAGGACCACTTATTTTATTCTGTGTTCATGTGCAACTTCTGCAGAACAGAATGTGATGTCTTCTGCATTGCAGGGAACCAGCCAAGTATGCTAATGCTCCTCACAAAATTATAAATAACCTGTATTTTTTGAAGATTTTGAACTAATAGCTTCTTTAGGGTAGTTATTATAGCAAAAATAAAGTGTTGTGTGAGAAATCAGAATGCTACTTCTATCACAGTAACAGGGAATCCTGAAGTTTTCTCACCAATAAAACTTGAAGTTTACTCAGAAACAGCTTCATTTTATCTAGAAATGCCCTCATAGCTTTCAAATTAAACACACAGGATGCCTTGAAATCCAGGAGCATTTTGTACAGTAGTGATCTAAAGAAATTATCAGTCAGTTGTAAAACAGTGGAATATCTTAGACAATGGGTTTTTTTTTCAATTTGCTGGGTTTCTGCTTACCCACAAGACATAGACATGCAAAGAATCTGTTGCCCAGAAAGTCTACCACAAGATACTCTTGAAAATGAATTATTTCTTATTTTCATCAGACTCTGAGAATTTTTTTTTTTTAGAATGCCTTTTAAAATTCTCATTCAGCTTTCATTGATGGTATCATTAAGTGTCAATCAATAGTGTTTTTGAACAGGCAGACTGCTGCTTAGAATTAACGAAGGGCAGAAGATAAAAATAGATTTCTCAATAATGTAGAATAAATTAGCTGTTGGCCTCCAGATGCAAGCAGTGACAGTCCCTCATGTTGCAGTGACTTAAAATTCAGTGATGGCAAGAACCAACCTGGTGGGCTAGAAGAGCCATCCCACTGGCACCCTGTTGTCTCTATCCAGCCCCCCTGGCCCTGAGGCTTTGCTTTACCAGCAGCCTGTGTGCACACAGAGCATTAGCCCTCTGTGAACTGGCCTGCACAGACTGATTGGGAAGCACTCCCATGACCATTTGTCTTTTAGGACGTCTTGTATCAAAGAAAATAATTATCTGTTCTTTTGTCATGTTGACCCCAGCACCTTAGATACACGATAAGTGTGACTCTGGCTACTGACACAATTACCTTTTCTATTTCTTGGGAAGTGAAAGTAGTCAATTTTCACTTTCTCAAGTGAAAAATTCTGCGGTAAGTCCGAGGTCAAGGCAGAAGAACATAGCTGTGCACATCTGAACACCTGTGTCTGTATTCACCAAACAGAAAGTCAGTATTGTAAGGGGAAGTAAGAAAGCATAATGCAGGTTAGATGGAATATGCTGAGAGGTCCCTCTTTGGTGATTATAAAGGGATCTACAGTTATTAGCATGCAGAGGACATCTTCATTCTAGATGTCAGCAGTTATGCGAGATGAGTCCCACTCAAAGGTAGGAGGGATCATGCTCAGGATTAATAATAAGCTTCAAACCCTACCAGAATAGCAGAGATTTGCTTCTGCAGTCATTTTCTTAATACCAAAACTCCTACTTCTATTTCAGTGATGTATTTCATACTCTCAAACCCTTTCTTCAAAAATACCTTCATAAATTAAGCTTTTGGAGGTGTGTGCTAACAAAGAAGTCATTCCACTGCAACCATGTAAGGACTTTTAAGCTAGTTGCCATCCTAATTTCTGCAAATCTCTCAAATTTCCAATTCCAAGATTGCTTTACTAGTTATTTCTGTGCAGAGAGTGCAGAATTGCTGCATCTGGTGGTGCTCCCTGGTGACCCCATTACTTCAAGCAAGGATTAAAAAAAAGTCCCCATGTTCATGCCGTAGCCTGGGGGTCAGAAAAGTCATCGAATTGAAAAAAAAAAAATTGGGGTGCAAGATGTAGAAAGAGATCCAAGCAATTTATTTAAGCTAAATTAAACTCCCACAGATGTCAAGACAGACTGAGAAGTAGTGGCCTTGTGTGAGATGCAGCACCTTCAGTTAAGAAGGTAGAGTTAGGCACTGGAACGCTGTAGTTTTAAAGGTTTAGGATAGGAGCTGAGACAGCTTTTTTTCTCGTGTTGATACCTTTCAATACAGCCTGTCTGATTTCAGATACATTGTCCAGCACTGGAGTTTAGTGTCCTTTGTTTTTCTGTTTTGGAGCAGGAATGCAGATTGACAGATTTCAAGCAGCAATTTGCTAACTATTTTTCCATCCCTCTCCCTCTTCAAGCCAATGGCTTTTTTCCACATCTTTTTTTTAAGGAGAATAAGTTTCTAATTAGGGGGAAATCATGAAAGAGGAGGACAACCTGTTTCTAGAAATATTTTAAAATATGATGTTTAACAGAGGTTTCATCTTGAAAAGTTGGTGCACAGTGAAGCTTCCATTGGCTTTGATTTAGATGAGATGCTAATTAATGCTCTCTACTGCAGTTTATCACCTTTTTCTTTGCGTTTTCTTTTAGTGACCATAGTAACAAATTCACCCTCTTCATTATGACAAAGTCTACTAATGTGCTTCAGTAAGTTGCCATTTTAAAATTCTGAGTTGCTTCTGAGATTGTCAGACCAGACAGTCAGCTGGCATAAATTATCATAGCTCCAGCAGCTGTGAGTGGTCTGTGTGCTGTCACCCCAAAAATGCTCCACTGGATTCCTAACGCATGCCTTGGTGTGGCCTGTGGCTGTTGTTTGTTCTGAATCTGAAATGTGCAAGCATTCATCCACACCGAACCTCACACGTAGGAGTGCCCCTCTTCTGTGTGTCTGTCAGAGCCTGTTCTGTAGGGCTTTGCTTTCTATGCAAAAAAAGAGAAACGTTAAAGGAATATATTAAATAGATAAACATTTAACAAACATATTAAATAAAACAGCTAAATCTGCTTTCATTGCTAAACCCACATGGAGAAAAGGCAGGGGTGATGAAAGAGGTGAAAAAGTATCTTTTGCCTTACAGCATAAAGAGAAAAAATCATCTCTGTTGTTATAATTGGAATATATGTGATGTCCTGTTGAGAGAAGTCAAAGGTTTTGGAATTACAGTCTTTATCCCATTAAAAAAGAAAAAAAAAAGTTTTTATTAAAGCAATAACAGTTATTTACTATGCTTTTCTGTATTTGTCTGCAGATTTGTAGTTAACTTAGTAAGAATGAAAATAAAAAAAATACAAAATTATATTAGCAGAAAATTAATACTAATTTTTAGTTTTTCATGAAAAATACTAAACTTTTTAATAAAGTCTTATAGGTTCTTTTAATAATTTTTTGAAGTACTGAGAAATTATATCTATAATACTGTCTTAATTCAATATTTAAAATGTATTGTGTATATAAATGTAATGAATGCATTTTCTAGCATTTCCTGAGCATTTCACTGCTGACTGGCAAAAACCCCAGTTAAATAGATTGAGATTAATTTGGTAATCTGAGGTAACTCAGGCGCTTTGGGTGGGCTGCAGAACTGGAAACCCTGGTGCTGACTTGATCCAGGATCCCACAAGCTGCTCCAAAAGGGCAAAGAGGCTCCTTCAAACCTACAGCTTTGGTGTTACCTGTTGCAATGCGCACCAGGAAGCTGAGTCCCACCGTGCTGAAATAGCAGAGCCTGTCTCAAATATTCACTTGGGGTGAAGAGTGGTTAATTCATGCTCATCCATAACAGCTCCCATTTGCACCAGAAGGTCACTAACCAGCTAGCAGTACTTGACAACAATTATTGCTATCCCATTGAGGTATACTGGCAGTTCCTCAGTTTGAGATATTTAGAATGAGCATTTTGAGTAAGATCACAGAAGAATATAAAGCAGATTGACCATTGAAGTGGAGGTCAGTATTGGTGTTTTTTTTTATCCCACTGTTTTCTGTCTTAAAGGCATAGAGTGCTGAACATTTCTTTAAAATACATATTTTTTACCTATTTTTTATTAAGGTCAAGATTTTGACTTTCAGTTTTAAGTAGTAAAGAAATGTCATGTTGTCAAATGTCTAGAAACCCAGAGTCCAAGTTTCTCTTGCGCTTAATGAAATTGTGATGTACTTCGTCGACAACAATCATTGCTTAATGGCCAGAACTTTAAATTTCATCTGTGTACACAAACAGCATTTCACATGAAAGATATCATGGAAAGACTGTTAACCATCTGGTAACAGAACACTCGAAATAGAAAAGTGCTAAACTCTCTTATTAACTAAAAGTTTTTCAGTTAGTCTTTGTTACTAGATGTGTAAGTAGATGCAATGACATGAAACATAAGTATTGATTTGCTGTGGGCATCTATCATAAACATAAGAAATTTTGGCATAGTTAAGAAACACATCCTTGCATTTTTCAATGTGATGTTGGTTTAGACATTCCAGGACTAAGTGATGGTAAAATGCTGGTGTATTTTCAGAGACTGCACTCCACCCTCCACAGTAAATATACCTTCTTTAAACTCCATGCACAGTTTTTCTAAGCACTTGTGTTGTGCAAGGAATCTGATGTAAATTTTTTAGATATGACACCGTTCCCAAGCCTGGTGTTTTAGGAGAAGAAAACACAGAAAAAGTCCTGGCAATGTAACTTCTTTATAGTCTAGTCTTGACACTTTTTGGTGTGATATCGTCTGTGTTTGTGGGTCTGGAACACAGGGTTTATATTTTTGTGTTCACACTAATGCTTTTCCTGTTTCATTTATTCACAGAACAGTGATATCGAGGCAATGGTTAAGTATTTGGAGGGTGTCCTGAATAACAGCTCATTGGGTAAGATGATACCTCTTCTTTAAACAATATCTCTTCTTTAAATAGCAGCAGTTATTAGCAGTCTGTACTCATCACAGTCCAATTATTTCCATTTTGCAACAAAATAACTAAAAAAATGTGATCTTCTTGAAAATTACTTCCTTAGTCTACTGCAGAGAAGTATAAATATGCAGAAAGAAAATGCATGCACAGTTAAGTGCTTTTGTTGAAAATAATAAAACAGTTAAAGCACAATAGTCAGAAGTGTGGAATGTCGTAACAAAAGCTTTTAAAAACTTGGCTTCTACCATTTTTTCTCCAGAGGAAAATATTTGAGGATATGGAAGCTGTTTTATAGTTTTTAGTACTGGCAACAATAACAGAAAATTAATTAAAATGTTTTTGTTTTTTTATTCAAATTATGATCAAGGTTTGGGTATTATTTATGTTGCAGTATCTCATCAGAGGTACAGAGAAATCACTGAGAATTTAAGTTTGCAATGCAATCCTAAAATCTCCTTCAAATTCTATATGTAAATTCAGAGTTTGAAAGCCTGGTTTCTTGTGGTCAACTCAAAAGCTAAAAAGAAAACATATACCAAAAAAAGCTATTTACTGTGACTCCCTTAGTCACTGCACCTGAAGACCACCCAGTTGATCTGTGCCAGCAGCAACAGCCTGTGTGTGAGTTGCATGAAAGCCCAACTGAGTTCCAAAGGCTCCCACGGGAACTGCTGTCTCATTTAGCTGCTTCATTTGCACTCGTTCAGTTGGATGAACCTGGCTCAGTGTTATCTTGAGGCTCTAAAACTAGAACGTAGGGGAATCCTGGAATCCTGGAAAGTCCTCCTTCCAGAGGTTCTTCCAGTGCTGAGCTCTGTTTCATCCCTGTTTGTGAGCATGGACTGGTGGGAAGGGAAAGCCAAAGAAGAAGAAGGGTGAAAGGGAGCAATCAAAGCTATGGCCAGCATAGTCTTGTAGCCACCGGTCATATTCTGGGTCCCTTGTCAGGGAGATCCTTAGGACTGAAGGAAGGAACATTTACATCCAGGTTCTCTTCACACTAACAGAAAACTGCAATCAGTTTCAAATTCTGCAATCAGTTATGCATGTTGGTTATAGCCGTGGGATTGCCAGTACTAGCCAGAGCCCCACCTCTTGTCTTTCCATGCCTGTAGTCCTTTACACCTCATCCTTTGTCCCTGCTTTTCAAGGCATTTGCTGTTTTACCAGGCCTGTATTTCTCTACACTGAGTTAGTTATAAATGTGTCTTTCTACACAGAACACGACTATCCATCTGAAAATCCAGGTTGTATGTTATGAGAATAAGTGGAAATAAAACAAAATAGCCACCACTAACTAGTCATTAGAAGAACTGCTGAAGAGCTTAAGCAATTAAATCAAAATTTCTGTCAGGACAAGATCAGACAAAGCCGTAATCCTTGCAAACTCAGATCCAGATGTGTGGTCTGGTGCTAGCCGTGGCAACACCATATTACTGGGCTACAGAGCTACAATATAATAATGCCTACTCCTGAAAACAGTATAGATTTTGTGGCAATAATAGAGCAGAAGCAGAAATTTGGCCAGGCCAGAATTTCTTGCAGCGTCTTTTATTGTTAAAGGTATTGTGAAAAAATTATGAGTCATTTCAAGGGTTGTCAGCGAACAAATAAGTAGAAAAAAACCAGAACTTTTTTTTTTTTAACTGTTAGCAAAGGCTGTGATAAAAAGAATGCAATAAATACACATTGTTTCTCCACAGGTGAAGTTTCTTTAGTATAAACCTCAGTGTTTAAGGGTAAAAGGACTTACAAGGTGACTGAGCTTTATCCTCAAGAGGTCCCACAGAGTCACACTGAATACCAGAGCTTTAGTGTGGTTGCTTTTTTGTTGGCTGTACAGGTACATGTGGAGTGTATTTGAAATAAGATAGTCCATGCTGATAGAAGTTGAAAAATTGAGAAGATTGCAGAAAAGAGCTGCAAAAGGAAAGGGCGTTTGAAAAAAACTGATTTTACAATTTATTAAGGAGGAGAATGTTAGGGGCAGTTGCGTCACTTTGTATTGTTTATGAATCAGGTAAACACATCTGACTCTAATCTTTTATACTTTGTACAAAAAGGCATTGTAGGATCTCATATGTAGCAGTGAAAGCTGAAGAAAGAAATCTGAAATCCAAATGGAAGTCTATGATTCAGTGGAGAGAATAGCTTCGCAACACATAATGACTTACCTACCAAGAGAGGCAGTAGATATCTGTCACCAGTTCTTTGGTCATTAGCAGAAATATTTTTAGGAATGCCTTTGGACCACAGTGTATGAAAAGTCTCACCAGATAATGCACCCGTGAATAAGCATTCAGCCAGAGGATTCATTTCCCTACAGAACCCCAGTGAGAACCTCAAACTCGTGCTCCATCACCTGAAAGGACAAAGATCTTTTGCCCTGTATTGTTCTCTGCAGTTTTAGCCACTAGGAGATACTAATCTCTGAAATATGTTTAGAAAGCCACAATACCTGGTTTTGAAAAGTCAGTGCTCGTTTCATTTGATTTTGTTTAATGGATCAAGAACTATATATTGTGTAAAAAATGCAAGTAGTTATCTGGTAGCTTTTTGAAGAAGCTTAGTTCCATGCACTGTGTTGGTAGGCAAACTGCCCGAAGCAGGGTGCAAAATATATTATTAATCAAGTAACTGCTTCTAAGAAAATACCTTTGATATAAAAGTTGGTGGAACATTAATCACCCTAACAAAATTCTTTGAGGTGTGTTGTAACACCAGTGTGTCAAGCTTAGTAGTTTTCACTGAGAACTCATTTCTTTACTGATTAACCACATCTTTGCAGCATCCTGCAATCTGCAGTCCTTGCTGCTTTGCAGTACCCAGGGAAAGATAGATACTAGTTTACATGTAGAGAGTAAGTTTTGCTTGGCCAACTGCCAGTGTGGAGAGTAGACAAAGCACGAATTATTTAGCCAGAAATCCCTGGGAAAAAAAATCCAAGAAGGATGTCTTTAATAATGAAATGTCAGAGGAGAAGGAAATATTGTAGCAATAAATAGACTGAACCCACTAAGCAGAAAGAATATGCTGAACTCTTACTACAGTGATATATCCTGTAATAATAATACCAGAATTTATCTTGGGCCTGTGGTTAAACGTACTCTTCCTTAAGAGAATACAAAGATTACATTTTCCTTAGGCCAGTGGTGCTCAGGGCATCGATGTTTTTTGGTCTCAAAGCTCCACGCCTGGACCTTAATTCTGTGCCAACTCCCAAAGGAGCACAGTAATTCAGGAGCACCGCTTTTCGCAGTGCCTGGGGCTTCCTCAGGGCCACGCTGAGGGGAGCTGGATTGTCCAGTGCCGCTAAAGAGATTCAATGCTTACAGACTCCATGGTAAAACATATGGACATGCATGTGTAGTGTTACAGTAAACAATCAGGAAATGGTTTTTTTGCATTAATAGGTGAATTAATTGGTTGCTAGTTAAAACTGAGCTTGTACTTTTTCATCTTTTAAACTACTTTAATTATTTCTCAGTATAATACTTAGGCACCAGACAACTATTAGCCATTAGGTGTAAAGATAAGCAAGGAAAATGTTTTGAAACATCAAAACGTGCCAGGTAGCAGTCAGGAATCCATTTCTTCTGTGGTCTCTCTCCACACTTGTTTCTGAGCTTCTGAATCCAGCAGATGCTTACTGTGAGCAATTTGATAAGATCCCTCACAATGGAAAGTTTTAATCTCAGCATTTAAATGTATATGATCAGGACATAGAATAGTGTAAGACATAGGAGCTTAGCCCTTGGAAAAACCATGATTACACGTTCCAGGGAAGCATTCAGTGCTCTCTGGCGTTGTCTATAGTGCTCATAGCAGGAGGGCAGCTGCAAGCTCCCTCTGCCTCCATGTGATCGATGTTAATGCAATCCAAAGTAAATCCCAGCTGAGTCCAAGCTAAAAAGCACAGCTAGGAGTGGAGTGTGTGCTCATTTAGACAAGGAACTGTGTTAATATGTTTTGCTTTTGGCTTGTCCGTATCAGATGCAGAGCCCTCCCACTCCTGTTCAGAACTTGAGTCCCGTGTGCCACAGCCCACACATGTACACAGGATGTAGTCCCAACCTGATACATCTTCTCCTCTTTTGGGAAGTGAAATCCTAATACTAGGATTCTTCTTCTTTTGCAAGAAACCGCTGAAGTAGCTGCTTTGTTTAGCTTAACAAATGGGAAGCTGAAATGGGATCTCTTTTCAATTATAAAGGAATGAAAGGAGTATGCAAAAGAGAAGGAAAGAATTGAATAGAACAAAGAATATGATTGGCACAGGAGGAAAATGAGCGTGAACTGGCCAATTAAGAAGTTTATTCATGAAATAAGAGGAGAGATTTTGGCCACCATCTCTCCCAATGAGACTTAGGAACTATCTTCCAATGGGAACAGTCAGGGCAAAAAATGCAAAAATTCCGTAGGAAAACCACCGACTTATATGATGGAATGACTATACGAAATTGCAGGATATTTGAGCTGATAACACTGACAGTCCCCTGTGATTCAACACTTCTGTGTTCCTGTTGATGAGTACCTCAGTGGTATGTGAACCTTAGGCCCAGGAGGCCTGCACACAAAAAGAATAGGCATGTGTGTTTATGCATATGTATATTGCTTACACATATATATGTGTTTATATATACAGATATATATAAATATATGTATATATGCATACATTAAGAAAGTACCTTTGTCTGAAGGAGAAAGTGATGTTGTAAGTTAAATACTTCCAGTTTACAGTAATGATCAAGCTAAAGGAGAGACTTGCTTGCCAAAATAAGTGCAAAAACAATGGAAGAAAATGCATATCTAGGCAGATTTTTCTAAAAAATATTTGTCTGCCCCAGCACTTCCTTAAGTGATTGTCCTTTCTGTTGTAATGCCTTGTATGCTACACAGAAAGAAAATTGTTGTTACAATTCTGGTGCCTTTAAGATATAAATCTACTTGTCCCTCAGAAAGGAGTTGCCTTTAATGTGCATTTAATAATCTAATTCATCTTTAATTAATGTGGCACTACCTTGTGAGAAACAGGAATAGTCTTCCTCCTTCTGACTGCCCTTGATTCTGCAATAGAGCTCAAGGGAGAAGGTGAATAAGGTTATGTGTCTGTGCATTGATTTGTAGGCTCGAGGACTGTCACCGGAGTGTCTCCAGGGACACCCCAGGGATTCAGAGCTCTCAACAGTACTATGGCTGAGACCAAACTGAAACGCATGAGGGAGTAAGTAGCATATTTATGTGTTACCAATATGCAGGCAAAGAATATGGATTTGAAAAACTGCAAAACACAGCAAAGAAAGCCATGTGTTGTTTCCCCGCTCCAAAAAATCCCTCTAACAAAAAGAAGTGGATGGTAAGCTGCTCTTTACAGACTGGATGCCTACTTGCCTCCAGAGGGAATGAAAGTTGACCATCACTTCTTGTTTTCTTGTAACCTGCACAATCACCGACATCCTTCCAGGATCCAGTTTGCCTTCACTGCTGTCATTGTCGTTCTCAACTTCACTTTCCTTATTAGCACAGTAAATGCCCATAAATTACCTGCAGATACACACATTACCGTCATGTTTGCTCCCTCACCCACACTTCATTCTTGCCTGGAACAAAAGGCAAATGTGTTTGTTTTCCATGATGATGTAATGTTTTAAATCAAACACATTGCTGCTGTTGGCTGGGATTTTCAAATGAGACAGAGGAATCTGCATGTGCAGTTCCCTTTGAAACTCATTGTCTGTTTGTTTTCAGCATTGCTGAAACGCCAGCTTTATTAATAAAAGTTTCAGTTTCTTAAGGAAGCAAAGATCTGTGCTCCCTTCCTAGAATGCACTGGTTAATGTATCTTGAGCCTTTATCTTGATTCAGTAATTTCTGGCTTTCCAAGTTTTGTTGCATCCTAATTTAGGTGCTGATCATACTGATATGTATTATTTCGGAACTTAAATATTCTTTGCAGTGTTGCAGTGATTCAAATGCTCTCAGATTGTAAACTCTTTAAAAAAGGGCAGTTTTCTCTTGTGTGGGTGGACAGTGCCAACATTACTGGAATACAAATAAGTTCAAACAGCAAATGCTAATAGTTATTTAAGTGAGTCCTCTAAAGAAAATGAATACAACTGCAACAGCATTGGTGGCAATCACTGTTTAAAACAAATCACCATGTATTCAAGGGAAATACCAATCAAATTTACTCCAGATAGGAGTTATTTGGTTTTGTGGTATTTCAAGATGTAACAGCTCCCAGGATTTCACTTCATGGCTTAGACTTTGTTGTGCAGCCAATCAGCAGGTCTCATAGCCTGCCACTTGTATTGCTTTCCATTCTCTTTTCATGGAAACTACTTATGAAAATAAAAAAATGTGTCATGTTGTGCCAACTAGTTGCAAGGTGAGGTTGTTTAGTCAAAATGTCCACTAGTCTTATATCCTTCACCTTGTGTTCCCATGGTTCCCAGAAAAGCCTTAACTGTTTGAACTTCATGGTCATTGCTTTTAGGGCTGAGGCATGACTAAATCACTTGCTTCTTTCAAATTCTGTTTTTTGCAGTGCTGTTTCATGGTTTTCATAATTTGTTATGACTCATGCTATTGTCCTTTCTCCAAAATATGCTACAACTATGTAATTTTCTGAATATGTAAAGGTGAGCGAGTGTGTTAAGTGAGTGAGCACAGTACCCAGCATGCACACACACAAGAAGATCCCTGCAAACTCTGACCCATGGCCAATCTGCACACGGGGCACAGTGGGGGTTTCAGGGGCAAGAAGGAAGTACCTTTGCCTGCAAAACAATGCATGGAGCCACAGCTGTTCCGCTCATCCCTCAGCAAACTTCACGTGATGTGTTTGTTGCATGTCATCCACACAACAGTGCCACCTAAGCAAGCACCTAATATAATTTGGACTTGTGCAATTCAGTTTTACTCATGTAGATGAAGGCTTGGGGAGAATGTCTTCAAGATCACAACTTCTAATGAAAGAGATAATGTGGGGGGGTTGTCTTACAGAAGCTGAGTAGCTGGAGTTCTTATGAGGAAAGAGGAAAGAAGAGCAGGGGTGATAATATGGAAGTGCAGTGAAATTTGTTTGGGTGTCAAGTCACTGTAGAAAGAGGAGTATGAAGGTTTGGGATTTGCACCATTTTCATGTGCTAGTAACAATAGAGTCTGATGGGGGAGACTCTTATGTCATGGATTGCTCGGAAAGTAAGGTTTGTGCCCACACATTACAGGTGACATTACTGAAAGAAAGTCTCATTTGCTCCGATAAAATGGTAGATCCATCTAAAATAACACAGGTTTTAACAGCAAAAGTGCCTTTTAGCCATTTCTAATTGACACGTGAATAATGTGGGCTTGCAAATAACTGTAGCGAGACAATCACTTGATTACAGATGTGGTGTGCTCATTGCTCGAGTTACTGCAGTGTGCTGCGCTGAATGCTTCTTTGACAGTAAAGATACTTGCTGCTTATTAGAGCATCAATTTAGGAGGCTTCTACTGTATTCTTGTATAGGGCTTTACACAGATACTGATGAGAGAGGAAAGTTGTGGTAAAGTCTCAGCAGAAGTATAGAAGGAAGCCACTGAGTCTTTACAGGAGTATAGAAGGAAGCCATTGATGTCCTTCAGTATGGTAGGTAGGAATCCTTGGTCTTCTCCTATTTTGTTACCAACAACAACAACAAAAAAATATATATATAGCTCAGAGTGTAACCTGTAGACATCCTGATCGTGTTTATCATTCAGTGACCAGCTTTCTTCACTACAACCCCTGAATATTTCTCCAGACTATTTCTCTCCAATTCCCATTGCACTCTCGGTTCCAGCACTGTGAATTGCTGTCCTCTCAGTAAAAGTCATGATAAAATCACCTACTCCAGTGAAAAAAATTTCTAGTTTGTTTTATTTGGAATCAGAATTTATTATAAAGTTCATAGCAGCAGAGATTTACCTTTCAAGCAGAGTTCATTCTCTCTACAAAAATTTCCACTTCAATGCTAAGCATTTTGATTATTGGGATCTGCAGTATTGATAAGAAATCTCCCTTTCTCGATTTAACTCCCCAAAAGGTTATCTTGAGCCTTTTCTTATTATCCTTCTTCCCAGCCTTGCATGTTAACAGTGAGAAGTCAAATATATAAATCAGAGTTGTGTGACTCATATTTCTCATATTTTAAGCTGAGGAGTCATGTTAGGTGCAGGAAACAGGAGGAGCCCTTTCTTGGTATTTTCTGTCCTGCCCACCATTTAATTCTCATGGTGGTTCCTATCCTTGATGGTACTGGGTAACTTGGTGTATGCCTCAGGCTGAGAAGCTCTGGACAGCTGTCACACTGTCCAGAGCCAGATTACCTTCAGCAGAGAGATCCATGAAGAAAAACTAATGACTGTTCCATTGATGCTCGCCTATAGAGACTTTTCCACTATGCATCTCAGAAGAGAACCACACTATTCTTCAGAAGAAACTCCTCAAACTAGATCATTTTTTTCCTGTGTCAGATCAAACTGAAATAGTACCTATTAATTTTTTTTTCCCCCTGAGGTCCATACAAAAACTTAGTACACTGTTTTGTGCTCCTTTGTGGAGATATCTATGAATATCCAAAATGAGTCATTTTAATAGCCATGAACTTTAATATGTAGTTTACAATTCAATAAAATGTATGTCAGTAAAAGGAAAAGGCTTTCACAGCCCAAATTTTAAGAAAATTAAAATCCTTTAACACAGCAGTGAGCACCTCTTAGTCAGTCCCTGACTGCTTACACACAGCAGCATGCCATGATGAGGCAAAAGACTTCATCATCCCCTGCTGAGTGTAAGCAAAGCTGTCTTTCAGAAGTCATGGAGAAAAGGCATTTGGTGATATTTTTATTCTGCTCCTGTGAATGCTTATAACACCATTGGTTCAGACTCTTGAGCATTACGCATATATGCTTCTTGTGCTTGTGACGTTGGCATCAAATGCATTGTTTATTTTAAAAATTCAGAAAGAAAGGTCATATTGAAGTCATTGAATAGTCACTGGATATTCTTTGAGATAAATCATTCTTAAATGCCTACAGTGTAGAAGACTTTTTGCACATTTATTTGTGCACATTTTTTAATTACTGCAGTAAAGAAAGTGTTTATTTGATGTAGTATTTTATTAGATGTTGGGTGGACCTTTTTGAGCCTGCTGACACTGGTTTTGTTATTGATGTCATTGAAGGCAGCTTTAGGTGAAGACAAAAACAACAAATATAGAAAAGCTAATTGGTTTTTTAGACTTCCATTAAAAAAGTCCTCAGTGACTTTTAAATTGCCATTGACTGTCATGTTGGAGGTGCCATGATGCAAACATAGTCTTCTCACAAACAAAAGACATATTTGGTAAGGAAGTTTATTGACACTGAGCTCTCATGTTTTTTTGCAGAGGAGTAGAGTACAGTATTCTTTAAGGTATTGATCATGAAATGTTTCTGAGCATTGAATTCCTCTTACGCACACCACAGTTGTTCTGTTCAACACTCCATTTTCTGATAATAATTTCTGTCTGGTGATCTCAAGACATCTTAAGGCATAACCATAGCTTTTTGCATCTCATGGGCTAAGCCAAAATATTGTTTACACATCCATCCTCCTTGTCACAGTTTCTCACACCTCCTTTTTAAAGGCCGGTCTCCAAATGACTTGAATGAGCTCATTATGGAAACATATTAACCATCTTAGTCCATAAGTTTCTCTTTCTTTTACTGTGAATGTATTTTAAGATAATTGCACCACTACATTCCAGACCCAAACTTGAACAAGTGTTTGGGGTTTGCTGTTTTCTGTTTGCTTCACAAGCAAGTGAGAGTACAGTAAACTAACCAGGAGCACTAGGAGAGTTAAAACTGACTGTATGTGACCAAGCTGGGAAATTGCTTTTTGGCTCCTGTCAGGAAGAACTGAGTGAATGCTTCTGGGTTGGGAGTCATTGCTGTCCCGGGGCAACAACGGAAAGTGAAAACAGGTGAATCCTGCTGAGGAAGAAATAAGGGCAAGTGAGACAGTGGCTCCTGCCCAGAAATGTGGGAGTCCTCTGGAGCAGAAGCAGTGGCACATCCTCAAGGCTAAAGCTGGAGCTGAGAGTCTCATTCATTTTCCATGGGTTTTCATTCAGCTTCTTCCCATTGTCCATGCTCTTCCCCTTTCCATGTCAAAAAAGGGCAGTTTCTCTTGTTGGCCCTTTGGTTTTTGTACCA